CACCTCCATCGCGGCCGTCCTGCAAGCAAGGAACGAACGTTCGGTCACTTGACTCCCTAATATTAATCTGCGAGCGATGGCACTTAAAAAAAGAAACGTCTCTACCCAACATATACATATGATGAGGGTTCCTCAAAGAGGGAGTTTCGTCTCTCGTTTTTGAGGGGGAGAAGCACTTAATTTATATTAATTTTATTCTCTGCGCAGCAAACGGAACGTAGACTTAACAAGACTATATTTCTTTGGTGGTAAACGAGTATGCATTTTGATTGACATGCTAGAATGTGAAGAACAGCTCTACAATTGCGTTTTACGATTGCTTTTTTATTTATATAAATAACTGCGCGAAAAATTATTTAAAAAAATCGAAATGACCGTAGGAACGTCGCAGAAATTGCTTGCAGAGAATGCACTTCAAGCGGCGTATATAATCAATTTCTCGTAGACGTGTTTACAAAGACTCCGACGGAACCAGAGACTAAATCATACGGCCGAGGCGTGACGCATTATTATGAGAACCTCAAAAGCGCGAGAGTGCACCTGGAATTGGTGCAGTGTTCGCGTTGATACGACCGGGCCGTTATCTACGGGGCCCTGACCACCCGACTCTACCGGGCAAGCGCGACGCATTATGTTAGCGTATACCACATGTGACGATATAGGTGACAGGAAGTCGTAATCTACCCCCCTCGCTATCTCCCCGACAAAACCCGACGATTGTTTACATCGTGAGATTTTTAAACAAGCCTCCTAAGTAATTTATTCACGCCCCCCCTCCGTCATTATGTGCTCTGCGGTCTCGAACGATTCGCACGATAAACAATATAACGCAGCAGCATGCATCGCGTGTCACGATCAACCCGTGAGACGGTACTTCGCCGTGGAGAGAAATTCGGGAGAATTTTCTCCCTTCTCATCCGGAGAAAGAGAGTCTCTTCGAGACGATTCACTCTCCGAGCGGTCCGGGTGCGAAAGCCGCGTCCCCCGCGCGTCTACATAAGCTAATTTTACGTTGAATAAAAACGCGTAATACCTCTGAAAGGGAAATCCATTTAACGTTCGCTCCGGCTTCTCAAGATAAATTGCTTTTCGTGGCGCGGGAGGCGGGGGAGGGAACGCCTTTCTAAAGCGACGTCGCTTCGAAGTTCGGGGGTGACAGAGTTCCTTTGCGAAAGACCCGACCGAGATTCTCCCTCGAGAATCCCCTGTTTTGGCTTCGTTGGCTGGTGGACGCGCCGAGCGTAACTGTCAACCGTGACCCAACAATGAGTGCGGGCGCGGGAGGCGGTACACCGGGTATACGTACACACAGCCGAAAATCCACAGGGGGCGAATATCTCAATGTAGACTTCAATATGCGTCGGGAGCCGTTTCCTGCATCACTCTCTCTCTCTCTCTCTCTCTC